GGACTAAATTAAACTACTTTCAATTTCAGTTTAGCTTCTGTTAGCAGGCCTCATTGTGACTCAGCAGGCTAACACTCTAGCTAGCTGCAGACTGAACTGAATGAACATAATTTGAACTATAAAAGCAGAATATTTTCCGGAAAACAGGACTAAAGGCAGACTCATAAACGTGCGAGTGTACGTAAGTTAAAGCTTCTTCTCAAAAAGCACTGAAACACTCACCCCAGTCCCGATAGAGCTCATTTTAATACCGACTGTAAATTCTATGCATAGGTCCCATAAAGCGCTCTCAAACCACTCTTCCGGTGCCTCCTCACGCGTTTCACACAAACTTCCGGTGACAGCCTTTTACAATAAAAGCTTAAGTTACATTAAATATAGTTTATAGCACCACGGTTAGGTGTATTTAAAAAATAAATGTCTGACAGATGATAGCTAGATATGGCATGGCGCTGTAGTGATTCATAGACTCAAGATGAAATAGTGAAAATAAATAAGTAAGCATTTCTGGAGGATTTTAAATACATTTAAAATAGTGTAAAATACACGTGGTTTTAAATATAATTTTTAACAAAAGATTATCTTATATTACAACAAACTCAGATGAAGATTTTTATTTACCATCTAATTTTTGTAAACCATAAGATAAGATAAGATGCTGTGAAGGGGATTTTCAATTCTACAATCATCCATTCATTCTAGTCTTCTCTGGTCTTCTTTTTTAATCCTTTTTAAGAATTGTTTGGGAATTTGGCCATTCCTAAAGTTCTTTCTATCGCTCTGATAAGTTTCTTTTGGTTTTTGTCAACCAAATCTCTTTGACTTTGGACCTCATATTAAGAGTTTCAGTGAAAAATTATCAAATGCAAGTTCAGCAGTTGGACTAAATTCCAGGTCTGTATTTTTTGGCTTGTATTGGGCTGAAGCAATAACAGCTGAGTTCATGTAACACTGATTTCTATGACAAGCTGGTGCAGTCTACATGTAGTTTGTGGACTTGGAGAAGGCATTCGACCGTGTCCCTCGGAGTGTCCTGTTGGAGGTGCTTTGGGAGTATGGGGTGTTTGACCCATTGGTGCCATTTGATCCTTTTACAACAAGAGCTTGGTCCACATATTGGCAATAAGTCAGACTTGTTTCCGGTGGGTGATGGACTCTGCCAGAGCTGCCCTTTGTCACCGATTCTGTTTGTAATTTTCATGGGTCAGGGACGAGTTCCTGCCCCAAGTGGAGGAGTTTAAGTATCTCGGGGTCTTGCTCAGGAGTGACGGGAGAACTGAGCGGGAGATTGACAGATGGATTCGTTCTGCGTCTGTACATGTTTGTATTAGTTGACTAATGAACGCTAACGATCTTCATCACTTATTGTAGATTCTTTGTTCACTTATCAGATGTTTGTCACTCTAATAGAAAGCGGAGCTTCTGTTTGCCTTAACGCTGATCGTGGCTCCTCATGGGTCATTGAAAAGACCAGCCCCTCTCCAGGAGACTGGTTCCAGTACCTAAGCCGTGCGTTGAGGTGAGCTCAACTATATCTAGCCGGGAGGTGAGGTAGGGACATTTCATGTCCCAATCACTAGTTTTGATAGTTGGTGATTAGTCTGCCAGGCTCTCGGCCCGTGGTTGCCACCGACTGCTACGGCGCCTCCTGCGCGTGGTGGGGCTACAGGAGGATGGGCCCAGGCCGGCCTAAGACCAGACTAAGCCTCGGCCACCAGACCCCCGCCCTTGAGCACCAGACCTGGGCCTGGCTGGGGGAGGGGGCTGGTAACCCTATCTTGGGCAGGGTGAACTGTTCCCTTTTTGTTCTACTCATAGGGCTCTTTTGAATTACTTTTTGTCTGGTCCCTCACCAGGCAAGATAGACCCTGGTGGATTTTCGTCTTGATCATAGTATGATTGTTTGAGCCAGGGTTCTTAGGTGCCTTGTCAGGTGCCTGCTCTCAAAAGCAGTAAATTTTATTTGACTGGATCATTATTTTCATTAAGTTGAAGCTCCAAGAATTTAATTAGTTTTTATAAAATTTCAGTTTGATTTTTGTAACAGGCTTTAAATCTTATGCTGGCACTAGCTTGGCCAATATTCAGACATTTATTTTCGTTTCAACATATCTGAAACATTCAGCATCTGCCATGATCAGTGCCTCTGTTCTGCCTTTCAGTCCAGGTTTCTCCAGGTTTCTTGATATCGACCACTTCATCTATCTGACGACATGTACAGGAGGATGCACTGGTGCGCCTGTACATGTCGTGCAGGGACCGGTCCTTCCATATTGCTTCCTCTTCTTGCTCCCCTCTTTCCTGGGTTTCTGCTGCCTGAGATATCCACCTACAGTAATAGGTGAATACAGTAATCTGATGTATTCATTGATCTGCTTCATGGATTCTGGCCACCTTCCGTCCACTTAGCGTAAGGGTGCTGGATTTGGGTTGAAACCCTCCAAGCATGGTAAGGAGCCTTCTTGTCTTGATGTGAGTGACTTCTATCGCCTCCTTTGGCCAGCTTATTCTCCCAGCAGGGTACCTGACGATCGGCAGGGTGCAGATGATTGCTCAGATCTTGTTCTTCCCATTAAGACGTGTCTGACTTCCAGAAATCCTACCAGTGACTGGACAAAGCTGGACTGAAAGACAGGCCAGAGACACTGATCATGGCAGCACAGGATCCATACCAGCAGGGTCTGCCACACCA